CCCCCGCTAACCTCTGGAAGTCTTTCGCTGTGCTCCCCCCCATGTTTCTCTCGGCGGGGAATGCAGCTCGTCCTTCCTCCTCCTCCTCCTGTTCATCCTCCTCCTGTTCCTCCTCCTCCTCGTCCTCCTCCTCCCCCTCCTCCTCCTCCTCCGCCTCTTCCTCCGCTTCATCCTCCTCCTGCTGCTCGTCCTCCTCCAGTTCCTCCTCCTGCTCAGCCATTTCGCGCCCGAGCGGTCCCCCCTGCACGGGGCGCGCGCGGGCGTTGTGGAGCGCGAGCTTCGAAATGGCCATGCGCCCACGAGCCATGCAGGAACGAGGAGCCAAATGTCATCAGCTACAATGTTGAGGTCAGGCTTCCGTCTTAAAGAACTGTGGAGCCCAACGCCATCAACTACAATGGTGAGACCAGACCTCCGTCATGAAGAGGCGCGGAGCCCAACGTCATCGGCTGCAATGCCGAAAGTAGGCGCGCGCGCAGCAGCCAGGAATCTCGCCCTTTCTGCCCTCCCCTCCCTCCTCCTTCTCCTCCACCTCCTGGTGAACCGTAGCGCCAGCCACTGCGGCGCCGCGGCAAGAGTGCAGGAACTCAGTTGGGAGGCCATCGTAGCACAAGCCACGCATCATTGGCTACAGAGCTGGCACCCGCGGGTGTGAGACGGAGGGCACTGGCCGCAGCGGCCGCCAGTGCGACAATGCGAACCACAGCGCTGGAATCGGCACAAGCGAGCAGGCAGGCAGTGGAGCTGCAAGCTGCAGCGCTGGAATGGGCGCAAGCGAGCAGGCAGGCTGTGGAGCTGGCGTGCAGCGGGCACCGCACCCGGGCGTCATCCGCTGCAGAGCAGAGATCGGGCAGCGGACGAGTGCACCCCCATATCATCAGCTGCAGCGCCTCGGTGGGCGCGAGGAGGCGGACGCAGGAGAGGATCAACAGCTACGGTGTTGGCATCCATCGGATTCCTGCATAACTACATAGGACTCCTTAGGAAATCCATCGGGTTCCTTAGGACATCCATAGGAATCCTATGGAAATCCATGGGATTCCTAAAGGAGATCGATCAGCGCCTGCGGGAAGACGAGCAGTGGCCGCACCCGGCACTGCGATACGGGGCGAGCGCGGGGGCGGGACACCGGCCAGAATGCAGGGGTCAGCTCTGGCGAGACGGCGCGCGCTGGCAGCATCTGGCACTGAGCCTCCTCCTCCTCCTCCTCCTCCTCCGCCTCCTCCTCCTCCCTTCTCCTCCTCTTCCTCCCTTCTCCTCTCCTCCTCCTCCTCCTCCTCCTCCTCCTCCTCCTCCTCCTCCTCCTCCTCCTCCTTCCTCCTCCTCCTCCTCCTCCTCTTTCCCCCTTCCCTCCCTCCCTTCCCCGGCCTTCACCCCAGTCTCGTCCCCCCGCGTCCCCGCTCTCCCCCCCCCCCGGCTCCATGAGCACCCAGCTGGTGTCGAAGTGCCGCGGCACCGCGACGCCCTCGCCGACGGACGGTATGGGCCTCGGCGGCCGCGGGGAAGGGGAGAGGGGAGCAAGGGGGAGCAACGTGCGCCCAGGCCACATCGGAGCCTTCCAGTAGTGCTGATGTCTCCATATCCCGACGAATGGCATAGCGGACCTGGCCCCTCAAAATGGCCCCTTATCTTGGTACACACAAGCAGGCACAGGGGAGCTGTGCACATCGGGGAGGGAGAAGGAGCTCCCGCAGCTCTCCGACCAAGCGCAGGAAAGTTAGCCTCGGCACAAGTCGCGCCAACGCTCGTGGGGTGAATTGTATATTTTGCGCTGTCTCGATCAGTCCGTCGTTGCAGCGGCGCGCAGCAAGCGGAAATCTGTCGGCACAGGCTGCCTCACAGCCTTCCCTGCACTTGACGCAGACAGTCGGAGTCAAGCAAGGGATTGGGTGCAACAAGACACTACCGAATCAGAAGATTAACTACCTACCAGACCACCCCAACCCAACCTGAAGACCCGAATTCGACCCGAACTTCGGGTTGGGGGGGTACGGGGTCCATGTGCGTTTTCAATGTCCCCCGACCCCCCCCCCACTGGAAGTGGAGGGCACACTGAGGCGCCTTCGGGTTGGCTTGGGGTGGTGAAGTATGGAATGAAAGATGGAATAAAATTGGGCCTTCGGGTGGTGCAGTATGGAATGAAAGATAAGCATCTCTGCTGCATCGTCGGCACAGCCAGATGGACGTGCGGATGCGGCCTCGCGGCGCTGGCGCGCCCCCCACGCGCCGGGGCCCCGGGTAGGCCCCGTCGCGTGCGGCGCGGGGCGGCCCCATCTCGGCTCGGCACCGTGGCGCTCCAGCAGCGCCAGCGGTGCTGGAGGAGGCCGCGGCGGACGAGCGGGAGGAGGAGCGGGAGAGAATAGGCGGCCGGCGAGGGAGGAGGTAGGAGGAGGAGGAGGAGGAGGAGGAGGAGGAGGAGAGGAGGAGGAGGAGGAGGAGGAGGGGGAGGGAGGGAGGAGGAGGAGGAGGAGGAGGAGGAGGAGGAGGAGGAGGAGGAGAGGATAGGAGGAGGAGGGAGGAGGAGGGAGGAGGAGGAGGAGGAGCAGGAGGAGGAGGAGGAGGAGGAGGGGAGGAGGAGGAGGAGGAGGAGGAGAGAGGAGGAGGAGAGGAGGAGAAGGGAGGAGGAAAGGGAGGAGGAGGAGGAGGAGGAGGGGAGAAAGGAGGAGGAGGAGGAGGAGGAGAAGGGAGGAGGAGGAGGAGGAGGAGGAGGAGGAGGAGGAGGAGGAGGAGGAGGAGGAGGAGCAGCGGGAGGGGAGCGGGAGCGGCAGAGCCGGAGGGCCAGGGGGGGGGGGGCGGAGGGCAGGGGAGGCGCGGGGGGGCAGCGGCGGGGCATGGCTCCGCTCCAGACACGCCGGGGGGCCCGCGCGCCGGGGCGAGGGCGCCGCTGGCAGGCACGGGGGGAGCAGGGCGCGCCGATAGGAAGGGGCCCTGGGACACACAAGTAAACGACACAAACAAAACACACACAAAGGATGCACTCCTCCTCCTCCTCCTCCTCCTCCTCCTCCTCCTCCTCCTCCTCCTCCTCCTCCTCCTCCTCCTCCGCTTCCTCCCCCCACTCCTAGCCCTTTCGATCAGGGTCGGCGGCACCGGCCGTCAGGCCTCTCCGATAAATACACACAAATAAAAAGATTCCCCAGATTTTCCCATAGTTTCTGGGTTTTTCGTCTTCCCCCCCACTCCCCATATGTTCCCATATTTTCTGGGGAGTCGCCGATTCATTGTGTCTGTGTGTGTGTCTTTCCCTCCTGGCGATATCCCGAAGCGAGGCCGGCGCAGCAGCGGGAACACCGCGCTGAGAAGCCGCTAGCGTTCCGAGTGGGCTCGAACCGCACACGTCAGGTCCTGCTCTTGCCGTCGCTCGGACGTCCATGTCCCGTGCACTTGTCAGATTCCCTGCGTGTTTTTTTTTGTGCATGTTTAGATTTCGTGCGGGAGCACCACGTTGAAAAGCCACCAACGTTCCGATTGGGTTCGAATCACACGGTCTCAGGTCCTGTTCGTGCCGTCGCTCGGACGTCCATGTCCCGTGCATGTTTTAGAATTCGTGCGTGCTTTTTTGTGCATGTCTAGATTTTGTGCGGGAGCACCACGCCGAAATGCCACCAACGCTCCGATTGGGTTCGAACCGCACGGTCTCGGGTCCTGCTGGAAAGCCGCAGGGCCCCCCCCCAAAAGAACGGCGCCCCGCTCGCACGGTCGAGCGGGGGAGAGCGGAGACGGTGGCTCGGATCGGAAGCGGAGGCGCAGCCAGGGAGGGAGGGGGGGCAGGGGCGGGGTGGATGAGACGAGGGAGTCGGGAGCGGCCAAGAGGGGGGCGCGTGTGCAAATCATGGCCGGCGGCACGTGCGCGGCCCAGGGGGGGGGGCCGGGGACGTATTGAAATAAGAGGGGACGCCATGAAATCTGGGGAGATATCATGGCCCCAGCCATGATATCCTCCCCCCCTAGTCATGACCCCCCTCTTGGCCGCCCCCGAGGGAGGGCTGAGGCGCAGGGGAGGGAGAGGGGAGCGGGACGAGCGAGGCGCGCTCGCGCCAGATCTGGCATCCTGCCCCTCTCGCCCATCCCTCCCCGCTGCGCTCCGTGTCCTCTCGATCCGCCGGCGCGAGTCATAGCGAGCCTGGATCTCCTATAGCGTGGCCACAATCGCACTATGCGCACTCAAGGGAATGGGAGCTGCATACACTGGAGGAGTGTCTGGCGGATGAGCAGGAGGACGGGCAGGAGAAGAAGGAGGAGGACGCGGAAGGAGGAGGACGAGGACGAAGAGCGGCGTCAGGAGATGGAGTGGAAGGAGCGGGATAAGCAGGATGACCAGGGGAAGGCGGACGAAGGGAAATGAGGGGAACGACAACGATGGAAACGGGATCCCAAAAGTGGCCCGCGCTGGGGCGAGAGCGCCATTCCAAACGACGGAAGCAAAGCGTCGATCCGAACATGAGGCCCGTAGTGCAGAGGGAGCACCATTTAGAAGCACCGAGAACCATCTAAACAACACACCAGATGGCACACACGGCTGCCCACAACCTGCGTACAAAAGAGCACGGAGGAGGCGGTGCATCTTCCAGACGGAGCCAGGGGAGAGAGGAAAGAGCAGTGCCCACAGCGCGTAAGTCTGGAGGGGCAGAGGGGGGGCGAAGCGGGGCGCAGGGGTAGTCGGAGGAGGGAGGGAACGGGGAGGGCGAAGCGCTGGCCATCGCTCGGACGTCCATTCCCTGTGTTTTTGTCGGTTTCGTGCGTGGCTTTCTCGCCAAATGATCAAGGATGCTCCTCGATGGCCATCGCCGAAGGAAAAATGCACACGTCCGAGCGATGCCAAGAGGGGTAGTCGGAGGGAGGGAGGGAGGGGGGGGGAAGCGCGGGCGAGGGGGCCGAGGCTGGGGCACGTCCAGGAGGCCACTCTCGATGGCCACGTAGTAGTCGGCGCCTGGGAGGGAGGCGCGGCAGCTGGCGGGCGGAGATCGAGAAGCAAAAGCAGTAGCAGCAGCAGCAGCAGC